GAATTTTCCAGTGAGCCTTTCATTTTTAGAAAGCAGAGATTCTGCTCAGTTCGAAGTTTGGACGGTTCAAACCAAAGTCAATGTCGTTTAAGGTTGATAAAACCCTTCACAAGTTATCAGGTAGTCTCCCTTAATCTCCTTTAAGCTCTAATGGTATTCATTTTGCCTTGGTTGTTGACCGATGCAACCAAATGGAGTTCTTCAGTTTACTATTGAACTGCCCAATGGATGTGAATAACTGTCAGATTACCTGATACTTGCCGCTTAAGATTCGCACTCTCAGGTCGAAAATTTCGTTTGGCTTGAATGGATTGCTGAGCCGTTGTTCATTATCACTCCAATTGCCATTTTCGAACGTATTGTAGACCAATTTACCTGCATGAAACTCTTTCATCATCAAATTAGCGTAACTTGTCCATAAATGAGCACCAACTCGTACATTATAAGTTACTTGGTGGTGCGCCTCTAAAATAGGTCTCTGACCCAGAATTTCGTGATCAAATGATCGCGTTTACCTTCTCGTTTCCTTCCCTAACTCAATATTTTCACTTTACTGCTTATCAATCTGAGAAGCATGTGCTGAGAATTCTCAGACATAATTTTTTGAAGCATTGAGTAGGAAAGGGAGTAACCTTCATCGAATCGAATGGACATATGCAACGGCATATCAGCATCTTTATAAGCGCCTCTATGGAAGTTGAAATCCACGCTGAAATGGCACTCAAATATAGGTCAATATCGTTTACGCCCAAAGGCGCAGATGAAGACTGAAGAGATCGGTAAAAGTTCTGATCAAAATGTGACAAAGTTAACTGATAAATGCTTTCGTTGAATTCAATAGAGCTGATCGACTGCAAAATTTTATCTCAGACTCATCAAAAAGCATTGATAACAGCTGCTGTACATGAAAAGTTCCCAAACTCCTGAGTCAAAAGCAAGCAAACCGGATGTTTTGATTTTACTCTGCGATAGGATGCATACGGTATGTTTGGAAAGCCCCATGTTGATCACAACCATTGTTGTGATCAACATGGCTTTTTCAATCACGTAACTTCGCGATATGTGTAAAAAACTTGCAGATTTGGTATCATTTACACTGAGAGATCGTCAACCTCTTGTCAAAATCAAGCCAAGTAAACATCAAAATTTAGATTTTCTTTGATCTCGGTTACTCGAGACGTGGCGTTGCACGATATACATTATCAAATGTTAACATTGCTGCGAAGAAACTTCAGTTAATTCGTTTTCGCACAAACAATTTTCACGAACGCTTATTGCTGAATCTATCATTACAAGGTATTGGCTCAAGTACCGTTTAGGGTTGACGGTAGTTTGTCCGAGTGCGTGTATCGTTTGACCCTCTTGGAACGGCTGACTGATGCGAGTCTTGAATGGTAAATTCTGAAAATCGTCCGTCATCAATAACAGTTCTCTGCTCGACTATCCTTAGGAATGCGAGAAGACTGAACGTCCACTGGCATAAAAATCTATGACATTTGAGCACTATATCAGGCCCAACATCCATTATTAAAACTAGCCAAACCCAACGGCTTCCAACTAGAACGACTGCGCTACGGTAAATGACTGCACTGCAATGTCCAAAAACTAGTAGCCACATCGAAAAAACTGGAGCACTCCCATAGAGTTCCAAAAAGAAGTACGGTGATCTATGTATTTGACATCAGACAGTTTTGTTTTTCGTTACCCAC